GGTATCCGTCTATGCTCACCTCTAACCATAAGGTTGTGGATTTTTGTAGGAGATGGCAAATTAGTTACGTAATGGATTTTTGTAAGAGAAAAAACAAAAAAGGAAAAGTTAGTTAAAATATACAAAAGTGGTTTATGGTAGAAAGCATCACATCATATTTCTTTTTTGTTTAATTGTTTACTTAATTATCTCATTTTTTTTATTTAAAATATTAAATCAAATTCATTAGATTGATTTCTAGATTTTCAAAATATCCTAAACAAAATGTACCCCTTACTTACTAATTTCCTTATTGCGCAAATCAACATCAAGACTCGAATTTTACATTTTCAAGCTACATGATTTGCCGAAACTCTCTCGCTTAGGGCTCTCTTTCCTTGAGCAATTGAGGAAGCGAAGCGGGCTGCTTGTCATCCTTAGTCGATAAAAAAAGGGTGCTTCTCCTCTGCTGTAAAATAAGACAATGAAAAAGAATAATAAAAATCCTGCTTTCAAATAATAGATTGAAAATGAAAACTTTTAAAGTTACTCTGTTCTATCATTACCGGACTAAATCTAGGGTCTTAAGGGCTAAAGTCATGATAGACAAGAGGAAAAGCGGCTCCTACCTAAAGGTAGTTTGTCTCGTCCAGAAAACCTTATTTTGATATTAAAAATGTGCATATAACATTAACCAATACTTAACATTCCTATTTTAAGGAGTACGCGAACCTAAATGTACGCCTTTACATGTTAATATCATTCTCACATATATCAACATGATTAAATGTTCCTTTTTACATCAAAGATTAAATGTTGACTTATGCAGGGGTGGATATAGTAACATCCTGATTTGAATCATCTAAGAGCATCTCCAAAAACTTCTTCAAAATGGGGAAAATAGAGAAAATGGGTATTTGAATCAATATTTTACTTCAACAGCTTTCTCAAAACTATATTTAAAACGAAGAAAGTAGGAGAGATAAAAGTTCTTTTCCTCCAAATGAAGAATCAAAAACTTAATATCTCAAAAATAAATTGCATTCAACTCCAATAAATTTTTTATTTAAGAGATTACAAATTGATCATATTATTAAAATATTTTATACATATAATAAAATATTATTTCTCTCTTATAAACATTTAACATCAATATTTTTATTGGTAAGATATAATAAAAGAAAGAATTTTTCTTACTATAATATTTTTTTAGGATTTCTCCATATTAAAAGAATTTCGTACTTTTATATTCTTTTTTTTTTAAAGAAAATTTTAAAAAATCTATGAAAGATCGAAAAACATGAGATCCTGTTGTTTTTATTTGGGGAATTTCGTATAAAAAGTCATCCATCAAATCAAAAGTAGCATCAAAATGGTAGAAGGTTTTTTCAAAATCATTTTATTAATCAAAAAAAAAAGGGGGCCCAAATTAATTAAATATTTGTTTTAATGAAAAAATAAAGAAACATCAATCAACCTTCATTGTTTCAATTTCTTCAAGAAAAACAAACTTTCATTTAAAATATATTACTTTTATGGAAAATTGGTTTGACATGGAAAAAATGTTGATTTATTTATTTGAGATTAAATGTATCATTCTTTTTATTATTTCAAATATATAAACACCCAAATAATTATTAAGTATATATAACTAATAACAAAATATATTTATTAAAATATAGAGAAAAGTCTAAAAATATATCATTTTAAATAGTTTACTCCTATTTTTTTTTTAATGAAAAAACTATTAAACTTTCTCATTTTGAATGATTAAATTACTGAAGTATTTTTATGAACAAAAAAACCATTAAACTTTTACATTTTAAATTATTAAGGCCCTGGTTTTTTTTTTTTTTAAATAAATACATTAAACCATCGAATTTTTACTGAGTTGGTTAATGTAATTTTTTTCGGGTTAAAAGAATGTAGGTAACCATTTTTTTAAAAGTGCGATAGTTTATTTATTAAAAAAATGTTCAAGGACATAATCAATCAAAATAAGAAAGTTTAATAGTTTTCTCATTCAAAAAAATAAAGGTTAATGATTTTTCACTCAAAATATATAGTTCAAGGACTTAATCATTTAAAATAAGAAAATTTAATGATTTTTTTGTTCAAAACAATAGTCCAAGGTCTTAATCATTCAAAATAAGATATGCATAGTTAAATGTAATTTTTGTTTGGAAGAAACAGTGGTATCACGCGTAGAATAAGGATAAAATTAGTTAAGACCGGAAAAGTTATACAATTAATTCTATGGATAATCTAAAAGGGTTTAATTAAATACCAAAAATACCCTTAATAAGGTTTTCAAAACGTAGTTGCTAGCCTTTTCTTTTATTGACATTAAGGATTGGATGCATGTATTTAAAACGATCACTATCGTAGGAAGGAAAACAAGACTATTTATGCTTATATTAAATTTCCACGTAGATTCTTCTGATGTCGATAGTTCGATGACAAGAAGGGTTACGTGTTGAAGCAGATGGAAAGCCACGAATACGAGAGTGATAGGCATATGAAATACTCTCAAACCTTTATTTAATAATTAGTAACCCAAAATGAAGTAAGCATCTACAAATAACATGACTGTATTTACGAATATATTGATTTAGACGACTGATAACATTGTAAATGTTATTTTATGTCTATGTACGTCTTTTTATTTTATAAAATAATGAATAATCAAATTAATAATCATAAATGTTATTTCTAATTTATTTTTAACCTTAAAAATATAACCAAATTACCATAGTTTTATAAAAGTTATGTTTTATCCTTTTTAATCTTAAAATGTTAAAAAAATACGTATTTTAGTTGATATAAATAAGATGCAAATTCGTTAACAGTTACTTATCTAATCAAATTAAACTTGTTTTCGGTTTTTTTTTTCATATATACATTTCACATTAATCTTTCATTTTCTAATTTTAAAGTATATACACATCAAACATTTGATTTATTAAGCATGTGGATGATTATTTGGCTTATAAAGAGTATGGTATCAGGTATGTATGTAAAAACCACGATATTGGCAATTTCGTTTGTTTGAATGCTGAGTCGTTTTAATTGTCTCTTTACGGTGTTTGGGGATAAACAACAATTCTAGTTTGGGGTGTGATAAACATCAACTTAGTCAATGTTTTCCATCAGTTTTTATTTGTTTTCGGTTACTTTAATTCCCGAAAAATCCAAATGTTGAGTCTTTTTAGCTAAAAGTCTCACTTTTGTTAATAATATGATAATTTTGGACAATAAGATCACAAATGCTAATTTAAACACTGATTTTTGGATTTTATTATGCAGTTTGAAGGATTGATGTAGAATTGCTACAACACCATGGAAACTCACTTGTGAGATATATTCGGCTGAAATATTTGAAGAGTCAACCGTCTTTTTCATCTCTTGCTCAAACTTTGAATGCATGCTTTTCTCAACCTCTAGAGAGTGCTAAACACAAGCTGATGGTTGGTAAATGAGTTATTTTCACAAAGTTCTATCGGTTTAATTGTTTAGAAATCTTAACTGATCTCTACAACATTGCTTCCTTTTTAATCAATTGTTTTCATCAGTAATTATAATTAACCAACTCAAAAACATTTATTCTGTTTCGACATCTGAAATCGTCTTCTGGTTTGGCTTAAGAAAATTTGGATTTTCTTGTCCTTGTAGATCGATAGTCGATATTTTACCGTTGAGACTACTTGTTTAAAGACCACAATGGATTGACAAGTGTATACTTGTACGAGTCTTCATTTGCTAATATTCCGAGAGATTTTATTTCTATATGGTAACTACCATTCACATCAAACATGTCCATTCTACAGTTGGGACATACCCCATGTTTAAGGGTATCGATCGGTTCACTTCCAATGTTTTTTTGACATAATTAATCAAATCCAAAGTATTCATTGGATGTTGAAATTATACAATTGGTCCCATTAAATTGGCTTTGTACAGCCGATCCAATCAATCATTGGATTGAACTTGTTCTATCCATTTATATTACTACTGGTTATTTATTAGATCAGATTGGATCCATATAATATTGTAAAACCAATTATCCAAACATTCAATTAATCCTCCATACATTTCACTTAAAAATACTATTCGATTTGAATATTGACAGTTTAGATCTGATCCAAGTTTATTACAGTTCGATATCCAATTTTAATAAATTAGAATTTAATTAAATCAAATGAGTTTCAATACAGATAGTGCAAGTGTAAGGTACCTTTTATAGGAATCGACATGTGTGTATTTTCTCTAAAGTAATTATATTCGATTGAATAAAAATTTCCATAATAATCAATCAGTTAAACTCAAAATCTTGAAGTCATTTAGAGAATAAGAATTATTATAAAAAATTTAACTAAAATTTTCAAATAATTGAAAAGTCGTCACTCAAATCTGTGTTAGCATTAAAACACAATATATTAAATGGACCAAAATATCTAATTTTTAAAATCCAAAATGTTATGAAATTTAATTTGAAGTCATTTTTCTTCCTTAAACTTCACCCCACCACAACCCCCTCTTGGTCATATCAACCATACTATGAAATAAAATAAAAATATGATATCCATATTCTATTAATTACTTGAAGACATAATATAAATATATCTAATTAATCTTTCACATAATTAAATGATAACGTGTCTTTACATGATTGGTAGATAGGAAACACTAAAGATTTGAAGACAACAGATTTCTATTCCATGCTATAAACACACTGATGTGGTGGCGAACATGGGTTGCGTTGGAAAGTGGTGATGATGGTTAGAGATGGAGCAATAGAAAGGAAATTTACGATGTTATAGAGGAGAACAAAAAAGAAATGTTTTAATGTATATCTGAAATAAGAATAATGAAACTGATATACAAACCTATTATCAATAGGTTGTTGACCTTATAAAATGTCACAAAACTCAATATATTTAACCAAAAAATACAAGTACAATACACAAAAATTGACTATGATCTACATATGATAAAAGAATAAATAAACCATTATAATTATAGTATAATAACTTTATATCTTAACATTCTACATTTCACATCAAGTGGATCCCACTTCAGGTCCAAGCAATTTCCAAGCAACCACCTTCCAAGTTCCAAATAAAGGAACCAAAGCAACAACCCCTACCATCAAATGTATGTCATTAAGAAGAAGACTGGTTTCAACCATCTCCACAAGAATTTTATACCTTTATTTATCTATTTTTGTTGTTATAACCGAAATTTTAACAAATTCATACATGTGGAAGTAATTAAATTATGTAAAAGTTCGTGAGAATGACTTTATAGTGGAGATAAATTTGAAGATAGATGTAGTTCAAGGTAGATGAATGTAATTGAAAGTACTGGAAGTTGTTAAAACAGATTGAGTTAGATTAAAAAATCAACACATCTAAAGGCTCAGAAGTGTTCTCACCATAACTCTCATTCTCACACGACCCCTTGTGTGTGTGTGTGTGTATAGATATATATAAGGAAGAGTTTAAACAAGAATGCATTCATTTTACAAAATCGTGAGAACACTCTTTACTCTAGTCAATCACATATGATATTGTAGTCCATCAAATGAGATACTAAATCAGAGACGCGGGCCAAGTCACCTACACACCACCAGGTTTCTTACGTGTATTATCACATGTGATAAAGATGTTCTCATATTTTCGTAAACAAAGGTGAGTTCATTTTAACCTCCACCTATATGTATGTGTGTGTGTATATATATATATATATATATATAGAGAGAGAGAGAGAGAGAGAGAGAGAGAAAGAGCGTGTGTGTGTGTGTGAGGTTTAGGGGAAAACCCTCGAGAAAATGAAAAACCGAGGAACACATTAATAAGTAATAACCAGTCATCGGTTGGGTATGTATATGTGCATACAAGTAATTGAAGATGTTTCATGATTTCTATGTATGTGTGCATGTTATGCATATGTGCATCTGAAAAATTACTTGTACGCATATGTGCATACCATACATATGCACATTTGCATACCAATACAGATGATTGGTTATTAGGATGTTCGTCAGTTTTCCTTTTTTGCGGTTTTTCTCTTGAACCTGACCCCCCCCTCTCTCTCTCTCTCTCTCTCTCTCTATATATATATATATATAAATGAAAGTGAACTTAAATCTCATATATTTAACGTGCCAAATATCATGATTATAAAAAAGGAAAGGAAAGAAAAGGAAGGTATAAAGAAGGTGAGATGAGCACCCAAAAATCAAACAATTAATGGATGTGGCCAAGGTTGCATCAAAGGAATCATGTTGTAAACCTACCCAAAATCATTATTTTTTCTAAAAGATTTGAGAAAAATTATTAAACCAAGAACAAAAAGTCAAGATGCAAAAGTTGCTGGAAAAAGGGAAATTTATATAGAGTGGGTTGAAAATTCCTCCAAAGTAGAAAATGAAAGTGACATCAAGATGTGTTCAGAAACCTTCAACATCTCAAAAATAATTGTATACTTATCAACATTTTGTCAAACTTAAACATTTCAAATTGGGAAACATACATTTAATCACATGGGTCTCTCAAGATTTGGGTCCCCCATCAAGCACTTGGAAAACTTTCCAGTTTCCAGAATGCAAATAGTCAAAATTAGTATAAGAAAATTAGTCAAAAGGATGCATGCATTTTGGAGGGAGCATGAATCCAAATAATGAAATTCAAATTGAAGATCATTTCATTTGATAGATCTTCACCTAATTTCAATCCCAAAATACAAAACTAAGGTAGACACATACCCATAAAAGAGCCAGGATCAATCTTCTCCTTTTGGTCAACATTCTTGTTTTGACTTTTGAGGATTCTGCCATAAGAAGAAGAAATATACGAGATCGTAGTCATCAAATGAAACACTGAGAAAAATGATGCACAATGAGTTATAAAAAGAACAAAAGGCTCGCTTTCTTCCTCATCCAAAATTTCATAAATTGACAATCTGAAACTAAAGTTCAAGAAACTAAATTAAGTTCGATCAATAAACATGTGAATGTGATGGACCCAAAATAGAGAATCTTTAAGTTAATAAAATTGAAAATGCTGGTATGGTGAGTCTCGAGTCACCTGTGGCACCAATAGTGACTAAAAACAAACCAAACAAAACAAACCCAATATATCCCACAAGAAACTGATAGAGGCTTAAAAGCAAATACAAAATACGAGGCTCAACATTACACTAAACACATCCTAAAGGGGAACGCTAAATACAAGATCAACGACACAGCTTTGATTATTTAATGTTTATTATCAACCTCCGATGGATTCTTTATTCTAAATTTCTAATCTAACCTAAGTAGTGTAAGATGAAGTTCATGTTATTCAGTTATTGTGGATGATTGGTTATATATCTTCTATAAGGTCATATTTACTAGATTTCATAAGTAACTTTGAAAAATATACACCAAGACCTAGAACTACTTTAGACACATAATAAGATGTCTTAAAAGTGTAGAGAACTCAGAGAGACTCCTACAAGTAACATGCTTTTGAAAATGCACTACTCCGCAGTGCTATTCAGGAGATCCCTTAGACACCACATCAACTTGTATGGAAGAAATGGACGGACCAAGAAACTTGATAGATCCCTTCCCATGTGAGGTATTGATCTGATCGTCACTTTCTTTAGAGCTAGATCCTTTTTAGACATGTTCTCCTCACCTGAATCACTTTCACCGGACTTTGATGAGTGAGGTTGTAATAATTAGCGGAAGCTCAATGCCAATGGAAAAAAGAGAAGAACACAAGAATAAATGCATTCATATTTCCTCGTGATGATTGAGGGTAAAAAACTCCATCAAGAGCTCTAACAATCAAATGAAAATAGCTAATTTGGGAATTACAGAGCAACGCTACATGTAATTTAGAAGAGCGCAAGATCAGAAAAGCTGGGAATCATGCACATTGGTGCAATAAATTAGGAAGCTCTAATTTGGCTTATGTCTTTTGGGTTAAGTTGCTACATACAGACGAAACTGCAAGCAAGATTGAGTACCCGTCTTTTCTGACAAAGTTGCTACATACAGACAAGATTAAGTTACTACATACAGACAAAATTGCATGAGGACCAAGATAATGGAGAGAGCTTCGTAAAAGTTTTAAAAGCTGATGGAGAAAGAGACAACAAATTGTCATTCTACAGCTACAGTTTCACTTCAAATAAAGGAGAGACCAAAATAATGATGTAAGCATTACTTTCGAGTAAAATCGTCATTCTACGGCTACAGTTTCACTTCAAATGGAGAAAGAGGCAACAAATCAGCTCTTCCCGACACTTAACGCAACAACCAATTCGCTTATGGATATTCATCATGTAAAATATGCATTTTGAAATAGTAATGAAGGAAAAGACTACATGGGTAAGGATAAATGTTTGAGTTATGAACTTTGACGGATAATCATGAACATAAGCAAAACCAACAGATCATCCCCCAATGGAGTTGTAGTGGTAACTTTAGTTAGTAAAAGGCTGCTTAGTGGGGTGATAATCAGTAAACATCTCCAAGAAACCTTTACACAGTGTTAATGGACTACATACAATTGGACATCCAGAAAATTCTGTCAACATTCACAAGTTGCAAAAAACATTGGAAAATGCCCATTTGGTACTGCATTTGTGACTATTGCAACAAGAACCAACACCCACACCCTCATTATAACTATAAAAGGACCAGACTTTACTACATTTATAAGAGAAACAATACTAACATACAATTCAATGCAAGAATTGCTCGTCGATCAACAATCTCATATATTATCTTGCTTTCCATACAAATATTAATGTCTTATTATAATCTTTTTCCTTCTTTTTTGTTAATTGATTAGTGTTTTGGTTTGGCCAAAGTGGGAAATGAGATCCAATTTGAGTATGCCTCCTCGCACTTAGCGTGAAGGCCAAATGGTCAGCACCCACATTTTCGGGTTTCAGGTATTAATTTTTGCATTATGAATGCCAAAGACGAACTCCTGAGAAATAACAAGCAAAAAACAGGATTTGGTCTGATTTTTAAAATTAAACCCACAACATTCATTCCTTCTTAACTTTTTGAACTCAATAAACAGATACTGTGTTTTCTTTGTGCATAAATCAATAGAAAGTAGCCAAATTACGGAGAAAAACATTGTATTTGAAAACTAAGAAAGCGAATTATAGGATTAGCTCTGGCTTTTAAAATTAAACCCACGACATTCATTTCTTTAAACTCAATAAACAGATAATTTATTTTCTTTCTGCATAAACTAATAGTAGTAGCCAAACAACTAAGAAAAAACACTGTATTTGATTCAAAACTCAAAACTGAAGTAAATAAGCAAAAATGAATCCAAACCCACATTATATTGATCGCTATGTGGATATTCATTCCTTGGCTTAACGAATTTCCAAACTGTAAAGAATGTAGCTCCAATTGAAATGCAAACAATTAAAATACCAACATAATGCGTTAAAAAGGAAACAATAAGTCAAGGAAGAAATGCAGAAAAATTTGTTTCGTTATCACCTGATTAGAACTGGAGAACCAATAGAGTGTCTTGGAATCCAAATGTTCCGAAGCAGCCTCGTTAAACCCTAATTTTTGCCCTAATTTTGCGTAATCTTCTCCCCCCCTTTTTGGGGGTTACAAATATTTACATAACTCACCCCTTATGTTTCATTCGTTGGAATTCTTGTATGCTTTGTATTTGTTGTGTGAGTAGTAGACCTTGTAAATTGTTGTATTTATATTTTCATCACAAAAATATATATTTTTTTAAATAAAAACGAAACCCTTCACTAACAAGCTTCCAAAAGGCATACATCGTTCATAGATTGAATAAGACAAAGTTGGCACGTCAAAATAGGACATGGGACAAGAATTTAAAAAGATGCATGTGTTACTGCATGAGCATTGAGCAACTCCGTTACCTTGTTGACTAATAAAATAGACAGAGTAAGAGTCATGTTGATGGGTAACCTATAACACCTTGAAATAATATTCCAAAATTCCATTTCATTTTCTTCTTCGAAAGTTGACAGCAACGATGACTTGTTTGACATTTGGCTTGAAAATCACTTTATGGAACCCAAGCTCGTTTGCATAGGACATCGCTTCCATCATAACACAGGTCTCACGTTCGTCAACTAGCAGAATCTCAATTAGAGATATAGACAAGTTGTTATCAAAGGTAGTCCATCAGTATTGCATTCAGGAAATCCAAAGGAGGTTATGCCATAGACTATATAGTCGAGAACTCATATGAGAATCTGCGTTACCCTGCAACGTGTTATCCTTACACCTCCAATTCACCACACAGTGTTTGGATTGTTGTGTCTTAAATTTGTCATTCCATCCAAATATCCCATGTTATCATTAGGAACTTGGTAGTAATACTTTTGGGACAATTGCTCAACATGGAGAAGATGATATCTTGTATAAAAATGTAAAAGAAAATCGTATTTATTGAAATTTGTCAAAGATTTCAAAGATGAGGGTCGTAAATTGCAATAAATCATAAAAAGGTAGTTGAAATTGTTTTTTATTTATTCATGGAATTTCACCGGCGGGGTGGCGACGTATACAAATTGTAGCAGGCTTGATTTTGGGGGTTTCTACATTTGTTCTCTTTGAGATGGTGACGATTCCGCCGACGGAGAAATCAGTAATGGGAACCCTAGAAAATGTTTCGCTTCCTCAAACGAATCCCTCAACGGGCAGTCGTCGGAGAGGGCCACTCAGGAGCCGGACTGTCGATACCTTACTTCGTATTTTGTCCGTTTGCCATGCCTATTCTTCTAATGTCAATCTGGATTCAGGTATATACTTGTATTTGCATACATGATTTGATTCGTTATGTAGTGTTAAAGTCGATTATCCTTTTAACGTAAATTATAGTAGGCTTAATTTTTGGGGATTTCTTGTGTGGGGTTTTAGCGATGACCGGGCTTTGTGTTGATGATTTTTTAATGGAAATTATACTCAATTTCATGACGATTGTACACCTTTCTGTAGTTTTGAAGTCAATTATCCTTTTAACATATATTGTAGTTGGCTTAATTTTCGGGGATTTCTTGTGTGGGGTTTTAGCGATGATCGGGCTTTGTGTTGATGATTTATTAGTGGAAGTTATACTTCGTGATGATTATATACCTTTCTGTTTCAGAACCTCAAATTGTACACCTTTCTGTAGTTTTGAAGTCGATGATTCTTTTAACATAAATTGTAGTAGGCTCAGTTTTTGGGATTTCTTGTGTGGGGTTTTAGCGATGATAGGGCCTTGTGTTGATTTTTTAATGGAAATTATACTCAATTTCATGACGATTGTACACTTTTCTGTTTCAGAACCAAAAAATTGTACACCTTTCTGTAATTTTGAAGTCGATGATTCTTTTAACATAAATTGTAATAGGCTCCATTTTTGGGGATTTCTTGTGTGGGGTTTTAGCGATGGTAGCGTTTTGTGTTGATGATTTTTTAATGGAAACTATACTCAATCTCATGACAATGGTACACCTTTCTGTTTCAGAACCTGTACACTTTTCTGTAATTTTGAAGTCAATGATCCTTTTAACATAAATTGTAGTTGGCTTAGTTTTTGGGGATTTCTTGTGTGGGGTTTTAGCGAAGGTTGGGTTTTGTGTTGATATTTTTTGATTGAAATTATACTCAATTTCACGACGACTGTATACCTTTCCGTTTCAGAACCTCAAATTAGTTCGGAGGATATCTCTTTCACAAATAATCCTGAACAATTCAGTTTTGAAAATTATGCTATATAATATATGTTATCCGCAAATCCATAGTTTTTGACCTGTTCATTCCTCTCAGCAACCATCTTACTTCTTTTGACTAAATGCAAAAGAACATTGCAATCGATGAAAGTGAGTGATATTGGATCAATTGTAGAAATGTAGATTCTACAAAGACAAACATACTTGACACTTTTTGTCCAAAATCACTCATGCTTATGAAGGGTAGTATTATTTTTGTTGCTTTTTTACAAGCACATTATTTTGTTTGGAACAAAAAAGCCAAGTGCCGCATGGTTCGGCAAGCTAATCATTTGTCATTCTGACCTTATTTCTTGTCATGTAGATAAAGATGGCACTAATTTAGGATCAGTAACAAAAGGTGATGTTCCCTTGGCTGACACTGGTACCATGCCTAACGATTCAGTGTGTCAAGAAGAAATATCTGGAGATGAAACCAGAAGGATTTTGAGTTCCCAAGAAGGTGGTTTATACAGTAAACATGTGGAATCGACTGGATGTTATGATAACACATCAGGAGAAAGGAAGGATCTTTCTTGCAATGTTGACACAAATCCTTCAAACTCCTTTAGTATAGAAGACCAGGATAATTATGATAGTGTCTTCGAAGATCAAGATAGCTTTCCAATGATACCCATTTCTCTTGCTGATATGATGGTCTCTTCCCCTCATCTGCCTATAGATAAGGATGTTGAGGAAGGAGAAATTTCGGGTGAGTTTATGGATTTCATGCTTGACGATGATATGGCGTCTATGGACAAGACAGGTTTAGAGCCTCAAGATGTCATTGGTATTGAACCAGGACATCTAATTGACAACAATTTAATATCCTCAGCTACAGACACGGTGGACGACGTTGGTAAAGATACGGTGTCAGTAGTAAGTAAAAGCAGAAGAAATCTGGTTGATTATTCTGAAATAGCTATTAACGGAATACAGGCTGTAAATCCTGAAAGGCTTCATGGTCGGCTTGAAACCGCAGAAGAGACTGCTGGTATAGAGTCTGGCTGTACACCGCTATGCCCTGAGCACGTGCCACCGCTTCAAAGCAGCTTACAAAACAGTGCAAGCAAGAATCAAGATTGTGTATCCTCGGTGAAGGTTTGGATTCGTCATTTTACATTTCTCATACAATAAAGCTTTTGTCATTCATATTACAAGGTTGAACTTGCTTCCATAGTCTACCTGATGGAAATTCTTTTAGGAATTTCACTACAGTGATGTTGGCCTTACTTCTTAAGAAATGTTTTTGCTTGATCAAGAATACAAGTTCAACTATCTTCCCATCTATATTGAATTTTATCCTCAAGAGGAAAACCTTTGTTGTGATGCAAGTGCATCAAGTTGTCTATAGGGCTGGTATCATCTTCACTATGAATCTTCACAAATAAATCGCCATCGAGCACCACTAAAGCTGCTGAGTTTTTCTTGCCTAAGCACACTCGTCACATGATTGGCAGTCCTTTTCTGTCTCGCCTTGTTTCACCCTTGCACATACTTCCCCCTTAACAGGAAATAAGGCTTCTCAAGTACCCTAAGTTGTGTTGCTTGCAGATCTAAATGCTTTAATCATCATAGGCTCAGAAATGAATAACAAGAAACTAACTACAAAATCATTTTTTTAAGGATTGTAATATGTCAATAACCCTATTTAAGAATATTAGTGAAGATAAACTATAGCAATTGCATTAGCAATTAGTAACAATTAGAAGGAATTTTGTGTTGTCATTGTGTAATAGCATGGTCCAATAGATTCATTTACTGTGCGTTTGGTACACAAGACATGATAGAACAAAATAGGGGTCACTGTTCCATTTTTGCATGGCTTAATTCTCTTTAAACTTTTACTTTATGGTCCTCAAATATTCCCTTTTTTATACATTTTTATATTTTGGTTAATTTATGTAATCTATTAAATATTAATAATAAAACATACTGTAGAAAAGGTATAAAATTAAATTGGAAATTACTTAAACCTTATATTTTGGTGTTATTTTAATCGTCTTCGGTTTGGTTTGGTTTAGATTTTGCAACAATCAACAATTTTATGGCTCTATCCCTGCTCCCCTAGGAGTAGAGAGATTGTTCCATGAAGACCCCCCTGCTTTGAGAAAAGTTGTTGCGAAAAAGTTGTGGTGTTGTCTTGAGCAATCTAGATGATTCTTGCAAAACGTAGTGTTCCTTTTGCATTTGCTGAGCAATGATTGTTTTATTTGCATTGAAAAGCCAAGTATGGTCTTTAAAAGTTCAAGTAGTCCTATGTTTATTTTGAAGAGTTATTCTTGTCTTTATTTATTAAAACAATATTACATGAGTACTAGATACCCAATTTGTCATGGTTACTTTTGGCTCCTACTTGGATGGTTTTCTTGTATGACAGGATAATAGAGCCCAAAATAATAGAAAGAGGCAGGGGTCTTGCACTGGAGAAGAAAGAACAAACAAGAAGGGGAAGAAGTCTATTGATGCAACAACCTGCTCTGAAAATCAAACAATGCTTGGTGAACACCCTGAGGATGCCTCCCTAGAAGTTACGGATGCTTCTGCTAACAAGGTAATGACTCTCTTTTCTTTGGAACACACTGTAATAACATTATGGATCATATTAGGATCCTGGTCCCAATGTGTCATTTTATTAATAAAAGGGAATTAAAGGCCTTGAGTTACAAGGGCATGAGATAGCATAAATCTGAAGTGAAGCAATTTTGTGAGTGCTTAAATGCCGTTTTACCAACCTTCTATTTGAGTGCTTATGTGGCAAAATTGGAATTAATCACTTTTTTGCACTATTACGTTGTATGACTTGGAAAAAGATCCGACTCATTAGTGATTCTGATTATCTGATACTTAGATGATTCATTGGGTTTTCCTGAACGCACCTTTTCTTTGAGAGGCTGATTGCAGTCGGTGCGGTCTGCCATTATCTCTTAACTGTCTTATTTGATATTTTTATAAGAATACTTCTCAAGTATACAAGCAACGTGCTTGTAATTTCATTCATAAACTTTCTCATCATACTTGAATGATTCTGTTTTTATGTCCAATTGGTTGTTGTTGCCTTAGTAGCTGGTATTTTCTTTTACCACAGGATGATGCTGATGAGAAGAAAAAGAAGCGGGTTTTGACAAAGGAAAGAAAAGAAAAGAAAAAGGTTACTTTTTATTTACTTTGATGAACTTTGTCAAAGTTTTATATGAAAATGGACTTAATGGGTGCGCATATGCTGTATCCATATTGCTGGTTTCATATACATGTTAAATCCTTGTACTTTTGCATCAAAACGTTCGTATTAGCATCTTACGTAGCTAATTAGTTTATTTAATTCCCTTTATGCAAATTTATAAATGTATGGATGACCTTAAATGTATCAATTTTTTCCTGTTTACCATGCTTGCTATGTCGGTAAATTCCACGGTTTGCGCTTGAGTGTGCCTGTTTATATGCACACATACTGGTGTCCTGTAAAGAAAATGAGAAGCTTATCGGATTGGAAACTGATGACGCGGAATTGATGTTATAGTAAGTCCCGTGATGGGGTTAGAATTTTCTCCGTTACTTTGGCTGTCTATTGGCCTTTAGGTAGCGGTGATCCCCAATGAAATGTAAAGCTATTACAAAGAACTAATAAAGACAAAACAGCAGAGCTTTCTCGCTATAAGGTACTTTGAACTGGCTCTCCGTGAATGTAATGGAGGCGAATTAGACTAAGAGTCTGTTTGTTAGCAGCTTAATGAGCTTAATGAGACTCACAACTTATTCAGTCAGATATACATGACTGTCTGTTAGTGGCTTAATGATATAGAAAGTGGCTTATTCGGTAAGCTTCTAGGGGGATCTTTATGCAGAAAGCCAAGTTTTTTCAAACATTCCCCTCCTAATTAGAAAACACGCTCCTTCCATCTATGAAAAAACCCTCCCAAACAAAAACCTTCCGAAACCATACCGACAACCCCTAAGTTATTAAGAGCTACTAAAACTAGTAATTTAATACCATCTTAGCACCGAATATTAGTTCTTAAGGAAAAAAATACATAATTCCCCTAGTCCCCGTAGGAGGTAGGAAATAAAAAATGATTAAGATAAGTTGGTAATAAAATGTAAACCTACAATATGTATGTCTTGATATGGCAAAAAAAGCAGATGAATTAATATTGATCACATAGTCAATATAGTAACAAATTATTTCGACAATCAAGTGCGTGAAGAAATAATTACACAGATGGCCCGATGAGAATATAGTGCAATAGAGCACAAATCAAGGAAAAAAAAAAAAACCAAGATCGTCTATAAATGACACTTCAAATTAGAAATGAACAAGGCATGACATTAAAGATTTACTACATTCTTGCATTTTCCTTGGTTCATGCATGTTTTTGATACCTACCTTTTATTCGTCATAATGGCTAAGTCGAAGGTCGTTTGACAATTTACTTCTAAGAATCACTTGTATTTCTCATTCTTTGCATATATTTTTAAGTACTCCAACCAAATTTTCACCACCATCACGTGTTTCAGCGGAAGGATAGAATCAAACGAGCAGAAAAAAACAGAAAGCTTGGTGTCAAAAGGCTGAAACTTCAACCGGTGATAAAAGAGAAGAAAGTTACATATTGCCGTCATTATTTGAAGGGAAGATGTCATGAGGTTGTCATACATTTTCATGGTTTCTATCACACTTTTAGAATCCAAACTTATTATTCTAATACTTATGTAATGCTATAAATCTGTTCAATTATGACAGGGTGAGAAGTGTAAATTCTCTCATGATACAATCCCGTTGACTAAATCCAAGGTATGCGATTTTTGTATTTTGTGCATATTCTTTGTCATAAAGATTAAATTTAGTTGCTTATTGTAAATATCGTTCTCTATCATATATTGTAATATTGGTAAAGTTGTAATTATATTGTGTGATGTTTCTTGGTGTTCAGCCGTGTTGTCATTTTGCTCGTCACTCTTGTATGAAAGGCGATGATTGTCCATTTGATCATGAACTCTCCAAATATCCCTGCAATAACTATATTTCAAAAGGTTTCTGTAGCCGAGGTTCTGATTGTATGTTTTCTCATGAGGTATTATTTTCTGCCATTTGTCTTTTTTTATCGAATGAAGTAAGAGCATCCCCAACAGATTTCTCAACAATTTCTCCAAACTTGAGAAACAAAAGTTAGAATCTCCAAAAAAAATTACATTCAACTTCAGCCGTTTCTCCATGTTGGAGATTTCAAATTTAATTATATTTTATTATAATATTCAATAAATTTATATGAAATTATAATCATAATACATTCAATTTTATTGGCCGGGACAATAAAGAACCATTTCTCTCTCTTCAAAATTCAATTTTAGAGAAATTTCCAAATTTGGAGATTTTTATCCTCTACCGGAGAAATAAAAAGATTAAAGAACTCCAAAATCTTCGGTTTTGAGAATTTATTGAAGATGCTCTAAAATGCTTTCGACTTTTTTGTGCTCACAATTTTTATGTTCCAGGCGCAACCAAGTGAAGCAGCCTTAAATGCTTCGAATGAGCCAAAGACTGAACGAAAGCCTTCATCCCTCCTAGATAATTCAGGTTCTAAAAAGCAGAATAACATTGATGTTTCTTCTAGAGAAAAGATAGAAAAAAAATCTTGTTCCATACCCATATCTGTTACTACCAACACAGAACGGAATCTAGTTGAGTCTACACCAAAACTATCTATTCAACCGCCCAAAGGAATAAGCTTTCTTTCTCAAGAAAAGCCACCACTAGAATCCCGCACATCTCTTAAGGTAGTTGCTGATGTGGTTCAAGATTCTAAGGAAATTACCAAAACTCCCCTTGTAGTTCCCCGTGGGATAAACTTTCTGTCATTTGGTAAAAAACCCGGGTTGGATCATTCCGATGGTGGATTTTCTTTCAAGATGGTCAAAGGAATTGGAAAATCTCCGTTAAGCATCATGGAGGGTGAGAGCTCAAAGTCCGATTCAACTGTAAAGGTCAATGATGGTGTCAAAGTTGACGCCAAGATTGGAAACAACCACAACAGACAGACGAATTCTCAGAGGCCAACGCTTATGCTGCCATTTATGTCAAATTCATCACAGAGAGCGCTTCATTCGGCTTTAGATTTCGCATCTGACTTTGTGCCTGGTGTAAAGGGAAGAGGCCCGAAAATTTGAGTAAAAAGTTATGAAAACTTTGATGATTATGTATTTCGGCTATGGGCATACTAAATTTAATCAGAGAAGCCTCAAATGCGCAAAAGTACGTGTGAAGTTTCTTCCTTTCGGGTGTATCAATTTATTTCATGGTTCTTATTACGAACAAGTTTGTGTGGTTCTTGTGTAAATCCCAAATTTTGCAGCTGGTTAACTCTTAGGCTGTTGATGATTGTGTTCCACAAGCTTCAATGACGGAATCACACCCTACAGCCGGTCGAGTGGCTGCTGATTAAATTTGGTTTGTAATCGACATATCATACTTTTATTTCAAGAAATTGATGCATATGGAAGATTCCATAATATTATCTTTTCTTTATTTGCAGATTTAAATGCAGTTTCCGAGTCTGAAAACGTGCAGATTTGGCAATTGTCCCTTTGAAACTTAGGCCATGGAGGAGAGAGAGGGACTAGGCAAGGCCATTTTTTGTGTGAATCTTGAGGGTCGACGCTCCTCTTCTAGTATGTTGCTGTTTGTGTCTTTCCAGGGCCATTTTGAGGATTTTTCTGGCTGTTAATCTATCTACGGTTCCCTTGGAATTAATCGAAAGGCGTGCAAGTTGACGACTCACTTGGTTATCTGTTTTCAACTTTGCATGGGTAGTGTATCCAAACCAAACTGAACAAACTCTGTTAATCCCAGAGTCTGAGAAGGGTAGTATTTATGTGAGAGGTAGTGAGAGAGAATGATGTTTAGGACCAAAAAGCGGGAAGGTAAAATGGGGTTTTGGGAAGTATGATTATGCTACGGATTTTCCAATCTGAGATGAAGATTTGGGTTGTGATTGTTCCAATCAATCTGAGCATCATAGGCATAGGTACAATATCAGGATGCAGGCTGTTGCAGATTTCTTTGGTCACAGCTTTTGCAAGTGATTGAATCAATAATCATTCGTACATGGATGCTTTTTATCTGAACGGAACTTATTTGTTAGTGTTGGATCTACTGTACATTCGTTTGGTTCATTGTACGACGGCATTGGTTTTGTGTTTATGATGCATTTTTGGTTTTGTGCATAATATTATTTGTGGTTGATGAAAAAATAATCGAATATTATACAAAGTTCCCTTAACGTTTTATAGTTTCACATTTAAAACAACGAAGACCATGGAACCCACTGACGTTTTCGACCTGGATTTCGGCAACATTTGAAAACTCAAAAACGATGTTAGATTTGCGTATAAATTCCATGTTTAATCAAGATTTAAAAATAAACAAAAGTTGAATGTAGGGTTTGAAGTGTTAAAAATGTTGGAAAGAGATGAGGAAATTAGTGAATGAAGGTCTACTTTCTGGTCTGCAATTATTGGATTTTTTGTTTAATGTCGACTTTTTTTGTTATTAATAAATAATTAATAATAAAAGAAGTCAACATTTATGATTCTCATTTGAGTATAATTATATAGATAGTTGAGTTGAGTTGAGTTTACGTGAGAAATGTAATTGTGAATTATATTATGTGAATGGGTGTAACTGATCGAACCTAAACATTCAACTCATATAACTTGTTCTACTTTACTGAAATAAAATATAATTTTCACATAATATAAGGTTGTCTTCATTATTTCTCACAAATAAGTTTCTTATTAAAAATATTCGTACATACATACATACATACATACATACATACATACATACATACATACATACATACATACATACATACATACATACATACATACATACATACAT